TGTGTGTGTGGTGTGTGTGTGTGTGTGTGTGTGTGTGTGTGTGTGTGTTAAGGTCAGAGGCCCACATGTGGGAGTCAGTTCTCTCCTTTCACCAGATGGGTTCCAGGGATCGAACTCAGATTGTCCGGTTTGATCTCAGGCCCCTTTACCTGCTGAGCCACCTCGCCAGCCCCATCAATCATTCTATGCCTTTGCTTACTTCCCCTAGTGGAACACGAAAAAGACAAGGAGCAAAGGAAATTCTACTTCAGCCCAGTCAGGCTCCTCAGTGACAGCCGCCACAGCCAGTTTCCTGGGGATCCTTCCAGAGCCTCGGAGAACTGTGTTGTGTCTTTATTAATAGCCGGCTGTAGTAGTAGTGGAAACATGAGTGGTACCAACGTCAGGGCTGTGAGTCACCCAGGCCTGGCACGGACCTGGCTCCCTCTGACCTGGTGTAAGGCGACGCTGCTCTCGGAACCCCGGTTTCCTGCTCCACGGGCTGGGGACAAAGCCTGGCACTATGGGCAGCTGGAAGGGGGCAGTGTAAAGCCCCCTGCTCCGCCGGCGGGGGTCAGGGCAGGTTGTAGAGCACAGAGAGATGTTGTGACCTGCTGTGTCCCCAGCAACCTCTGCTCCCAAGTCCCAAGGGTGGCATGAGTCTGGACCGCTGGGTCCAGGAAGGAGGGCTGGAGTACGAGGGAGAAGGCTAGGGTGTCAGCCTTTGGGTCTGAGGCAGGAGGAAAGGAGCTTGGACCCTCGAGTCTGAGGGAAGAGAGGCTGGGGTCTGGATTCCGGGGTTTGTGGAAGTAGGTCTGGAGTCTAGACCCCTGGGTCCAAGCAAGGAGAGGCTGGGACGAGGGCTGAAGTCAGGGTTGGCCCGGTTTGAGAGAGGAGGGTTGAGGGGCTGGATCCCCGGGTCTGGAGGAGGAGGGCTGGGGACGTGGACTCCTGGGTATAGGGAAAGAGGGTTAAGGCCTGGACTCGTATGTTTAAGGCCGGCTGGGGCTTAGGCTTGGTGTTAAGGAGCAGGGCTGAGGGAGCAGTCCTGGCCTCCAGCCTTCAACACTCCCAGCCCCTAAAGGAAGCTCCGAACCCTAGACCAGTCATCCCCCCTGGCTTTGAACGAGTCTCCTCTTTCTTCTGCTCTCAGCCTGGCCCTTGGGGGTTCACGATATGTTTCGTCCCCTCTGTCCTGGGACCAGAGCCCGGAGTCCAAGCTGGTCTAAGTTTGGAAGGGGGAGGGAGGGGACAGCGGGTCAGGGGGGTGAGGGAGGCGTGTAGGGGGGGACAGGATGTCTCTGTCTCTGAGCTGTCACACACACCTCTGCCCAGAGAAAGGGAGGGACAAAAGGCACGGAGAGACAGAACAAAGAGAGACAGACACAGAGACGGCCCAAGAGAGCCAGAGAGGAAGGGAGGCAGAGGAGAGTGTAGGGACGTCCCATGGGCAGACTCGGTTGATAAACAGGGGACAGTGTGTAAGGGAGTCAGGGGCCCCAGCAAACAGAGGCAGGGGAGAGAGAGGGAGAGCACCCTGGGGAGAAACAAAGGGAGGAAGAGAGTAGAGGGAAAGGGGACAGACAGGTGAAAAGAAAAAGAGTCAAAGTTATACTCGGAGAGTAAAGAAAGGGATTGAGAGAAATAGAAAAGAGGGAGGAACAGAGACACAAAAGGCAGACAGGGAGGAGAGAGAGAGAGAGAGAGAGAGAGAGAGAGAGAGAGAGAGAGAGAGATTCAGAAGGAAAGAAAGACTGCCAGAGGTTGTAGAGAAGGGATCGAAGGCTGAGAAGACTGAAAAGAAATAAGTAAGGCAACAGAGGACGACACACCCCCAGGAGGGAAGAAGGAACTGGAGTCTGAGAAATAATCTCGGGGGCCAGAAAGATTGTTTCAGAGTGACGCCAAGGCCTCCCTCCAGCAGCTTCACCGCACCCGGCCAGGGAAAGACCCGTGGGGGTGCAGAGGGTCCCTCGGGCTGGTTCCTCTTCGGGGAGTCTAGATAAGGGGTGCATACAAGGGCCAGCTGACACCAGACAACCTGAGATGGAGCTCAGGGCCCTCGAGACCCCCGAGGATGGGGATACAGAGGTGAGAGGAGGGGCCAGAAGAGAGAGAGAGAGAGAGAGAGAGAGAGAGAGAGAGAGAGAGAGAGAGAGAGAGAGAGAGATGGGGGAGCTGGAGGCCCAGATTCAGGAAAGAACAACAGTGCAGACCCAAAGGGTCGATCTCTGGGACCAGAACATAAAGATCAGAACACATGGGAGAGAGGATGAAGGGGTCCCGTGGGCTAAACACAAAGCCATAGTTGGGGGCTGAGAACTTCTGGCTGCCCCCTCAGGTGGGGGCAGACAAAGCCTTTGAGACTGAGACCCCCTAACTTTGCTAGGATACAAAAACAGGTGTGCCCAGGCTGGGTGACTCACGGTGACTCATCCTTCTCTCTGGGGACAGTGACCCCTGTCCCTTGCATCCACAGCTTGGTTCTGGGCTTGGACTCGATCTCTCCTGTTGTTCAGGGAGGCCCCAGACTCACCCCTCAACCACCCCATTCCTTCTCCCCACAGGAGGACACAGCCATGGCCCTCCAGCGGCTGGTGGAGCTGACAGGAAGCAGGGTGATGTCGGTCAGAAGTCTGCGTGTCCAGTACCGTCTCCTCCGAAAGCTGGGTTCCGGTTCCTACGGCCGAGTGCTCCTAGCCCAGCCTCGCCAAGGGGGTGAGTCCAGCCACCCCAGGGGTAGACTTCAAATTCTCCCATCATGAGGCATCTCAGAGATAAGCTAGACCCGGTGGGAACTCAAGAAGTGCAGAGCTCCATGATCTTCTGAGAGACACAGGCCACCCAGAGAGAGCAAGTGGCTGACTCCAGGTCACACATCACACAGCAAGGCAGGCGAGCCATATGAACTGGCATTCATACCACCGCCATGCCCCTTAATTATAGGGAATGGAGGACCAGGGAGGGTAAGGCAACATGGCAGTCCAAGGCAGAGCAGGAAAGGACATAAGGGAAGGACTAGTGCCAACCCACACTTCACAGATGAAGACACTTGATTCTCACATGAGAATTCTCAGGCTCAGAGAGGTCAAGCGGCTTGCCTAAGGTCCCACAGCAGGACCAGGGTGTCCCGGGTGCTCATCTGACCCCATCTTTCTGACAGGTCAAACCGTGGCCCTTAAGCTCCTCCGGCGGGACTCGGTCCTGAGGACAACTTTCCTGAGAGAATTCTGTGTGGGCCGCTGCGTCTCTTCACATCCAGGCCTGCTGCAGACCCTGGGAAGGCCCCTGCAGACACCCCGACATTTTGCCTTTGCCCAGGAGTATGCACCCTGTGGGGATCTCAGCGGAATGCTCCAGGAGAAGGCAAGGCTGGATAGAACTGCTCAGGTCCCCCTCAGTCCCTAACCCCAAATCAGCGCTCCATCGAGATCACCCTGAGACCCCCAAATGACCTCCCTGTTTCTAAGTCTCAACACGGTTGCCTGCCTGACCCCAGCACTGATCCATATGACCATCTAAACATAAGCTTAGAAGGGAGAAGCTGGGTTGGCTTTAGGGTTGGGGATGGATTGTGGCTACTTGGGGATGGCGTATAGACTGATTTGAGGCTCCAGCTGGCATGGAGATTGGGAAGTGGGAATGGATGGATGGGATGGAAGGGTTTATGGTTGGTCATAGGTGGGCCGTGGTTGTAGAGGGAAAGCAGAAGCAGGGGTACTACTGTCAACAAGGGCAGGTTGGCACAGGCTGTCTCTGCAGGCTGACTTGCGGAGGCTTGAAGTGGACTTTCCTCTAGAAAGGATACTAGGTCAGGACTGAACCCAGGAGAGTCTAGCCCCTCTTATATTTGGAGATCGGGTGCATGGAGATATTGAGGAGTTGGCACTTTGGATTTGAGATAGAGTTAGGGGTAAGCAAAAAGAAGGATGAGAGGGAGGGAGAGGGGAGATGGGTGGATATTTGGGTGGAAGGATGATGAGTGGGTAGATGGATGGATGGGTGGTTAGGTGGATGGGTGGATGGATGAGTGCATACATGCATGGATGGACAGCTGGATGCTTAGTTTGATGTGTAGATGGATGGATTCATGGATGGATGGATGACTGTATGGATGCATGGATAGATGGATGGATTCATGGATGGATGGATGACTATGGATGCATGGACGACTGTGTGGATGCATGGATGGTGGATGGATGGATGACTGTGTGGATGCATGGATGGATGGATGACTGTGTGGATGCATGGATGGATGGACAACTGTGTGGATGCATGGGTGGATGCATGGATGGATAAATAGCTGCGTGGATGGCCACATGGATAGCTGTATAAACGCATAACTGCATGGTTAGTTAGGTATATGGACAGACAGATGAATGCATGCATGTTGTATGGATGGGTAGATGGCTGCATGGTTGGCTGCATGACTAACTGGATGGATGGATAGGTGAATTTGAGGCCAGTCTGGTCTACCTGAGACCCTGTTTCAGAGAGAGACAGAGTCAGAGACACACACAGAGAGAGAGACAGAGACGGAGATGGAGACACAGAGAGGGGCACAGAGACAGAAACCGAGAGGAATAAGTTCCGATGAGAAGTGGGGTTCTGTTGGGAGTCAGTGGAGGGACCTTAAGGGTGGCTGATCTGCAGGACTTTTCGTGTTTGTGGAGATATTGGATGGCTCTGGGGGCTCTGGGTTCTGGACCTTCAAACCTCAAGCGTCAGAATCCTTGGGAATCAAGAGCTATGTCCAGGATGGTGAAGCGAGAAGACAGCATGTCCCTTTTCCTTTCTCCCAACCTCAGGGCCTCCCAGAGCTGATGGTGAAGCGGGTAGCGGCCCAGCTGGCTGGAGCCCTGGACTTCCTCCACGGCCGGGGGCTAGTGCATGCAGATGTCAAGCCGGACAATGTGCTGGTCTTCGACCCTGACTGCAACAGAGTAGCCCTGGGTGACTTGGGTTTGACCCGACCTGAGGGCAGCCCAACCCCTGCCCCGCCAGTACCTCTGCCCACGGCACCGCCCGAACTCTGCCTCCTGCTACCGCCGAGCACCCTGCCCTTGAGGCCGGCCGTGGACTCCTGGGCCCTGGGCGTGCTTCTCTTCTGTACTGCCACAGCCTGCTTCCCCTGGGACATAGCGTTGGCCCCTGATCCTGAGTTCGAGGCGTTTGCCGGCTGGATGACCACTAAGCCCCAGCCCCCTCGGCCACCGGCACCCTGGGACCAGTTTGCACCCCCAGCTCTGACCTTGCTCCAGGGACTTCTGGACCTGGATCCCGAGACTAGGAGCCCTCCACTGGCTGTGCTGGATGTTCTAGGGGATGATTGGGGCCTCCAGGGGAGTGGAGAGGAGTCTGGGAGCTTGGGCGTTGTGTCCTATGAAGATGAGGAGGAAGAAGAGGGAGGATCGAGTTTGGAGGAGTGGACAGAGGAGGAGGAAGATGAAATTAAAGACGGTGGGAGGGTGGGGACAGGCAATAGGGGTTCCTGACCAGGTGACTGAGGGAGGTGGTCAGAACCTTGGCTAGAGTGTCCTAAGCCAGCCCTCGAGGCCACCTGGGAAAGGCGACAATCATTACCAGAAGACAGGGAACACTTCACTTTTGCCTGATGAAGGCTGGACTTGGAAGTGTAATCCCCCATCTGCAGGGCACACACACACACACACACACAACTGAGGACTCAGGGTCCGGATTGTGTACCGCTGTTACAGCCTCCCACTCCCCCCCCCCATCTCACTTTTCGTCCTTCTTCCTTCATTCTGTCCCATCTTGCTCCCTCTCCTCCTCCCCTTCCTCCTCTCTTCTCTCCTCATCATCTTTCCTTCTCCCCACTCCTCCGTCTCATGCTGATTTTCCTTCCAAAACAGTCTCGTGTATCCCAAACTGGCCTCAAACCCACTATGCAGATAGACGACCTTGAACTTCCGATCCTCCTGCCTCTGCCTCCCCAGTGCTGGGATTACAGGCGTGCATCTCCACACTGTCTTTGGGGTTCTGGGTAGAGATGGAACCCCGGGCTTCCTGCACGCTAGGGCAGGCCCCCTATTATTCCCAGACCCTGAGCACCGTCCCGATGAAAGTTTCTGTTCCTCCCACAGCTGTATTTCTGTATCTCTGAACCACTGACTGCTTATCATGAATTCTGATGGGACCACTCTTCTCCTCTAAGACCCTGGGTGGCCCCCACCAGCTGAGGCACAAAACCTGAACATGTAGGATCCGATGTTATGTTGATCTAGTGTTTCCTGGGCTCCGTGTCCGTTCCATTGTGGGAATCATATATGTATTCTGAAGTTAACCACACACACACACATCGCTGCCGAAAGGCGCTCGCACACCTTATTTGCTCCACCTGGCACACTTTGCTCCCTTCTTGGCCTACAGAACCTGGTCCCCATCCCTGAAGTCCTCCCAGCCATCTGTGTCTGTTCTTCCTTTCCTTATCACCAACTGCTGCGACGTGCTTGTGTTTTTTGTTTTTCTCATTTCTAAACCCTTCTGTTTTCTGTTTCCACAAAGCCCCAAGTAATCTATCTGGCTCAAAATATCCCAGCTCCATCTTTCTTCAAGGACCCATCAATCACGAGAGCCAGGGCTGGTTCCATGGGTCTTCCTCTCTCTCAAACAGCACACAGACCCCAGCTCAGTGTGCTTCACGTCCCCAGCACCCAGCGGAGGGGTAGGAACTACAAACATCACAGGAACTTATACTTTAAAAAACACCAAGTTCTCGTGTATCCCAGGATGTCATCTCACTATGGAATGGAGGATGGATAACCTTGATTATCCTCCTTGAACTTTTGATCCCCTGCCCCCACGCCCAAGTGCTGAAATTACAGACCTGTGCCACCATGGCGATTTACACAGCGCTGGAGATTTGAGCCACCCGAGTTTTGTGCAGGTCGAGCAAACAGAGCGACATGCCCCAAGCCAGAGTTTACACTTTCTAGATTTAGAAGTGAGTTCCCTAAATGCACCATGGTGCCCCGGATTGGACTTGGGAACAGGAAAAGGACCTTGAAGGCAACAAGGGTAGACAGGACGACTGTTATTAGGAGCGTTGCTAACTCAGTGTTAAATGTTGGGTGAGATGCTGACCTGGGGGGGGAGCGGGGGAGGGGTCCAAAGGACCTTTTGCAACTGTTTTTGTAAAACTCAAAATACTTAGAAAATAAAAAGTGTATTTGGACCATGAAATGAACCCGCATCCTCAATGCCTGAAGCCCACCAGACAGTGCAGCTGTCCCAGAGAAAGGGGGAAGTCACTCCTGAGCCCCAGCTGCCTCACCACCTGTTTCTGGCCCCTGGTCTGAGGTCATTTCTCATGACATCATTTTAGAATCCTGTCTCATTTTGTCCCTAAACAGGACCCTAGTGTCTGGGGCTCCTGGACATACCTCCGGGAAGATCTGTGTCCGCCAACAGGGCAGGGCAGCAGAGGCTGGGGAGCAGGTCAAATGGGGCCAGGATAAAGGAGAGATGAGACCGTCTGAGGGAGGAGGCTGCCATCTGCATCCCTAGATCTGAAGGAAGAGGGCTGGGATCCGTCCCGGGATCAGAGAGAAGAGGTCTCGGACCTAGTCTCTTGGATCGGAGAACGGAGGGCTGGATCCCTGGGTCTGAGGAAGGCAGTTTAGTCCTGGGCTTCTGGGCCTGAAGGAGGATGGCCGGGGTCCTGGACCTTGGGTCTGAGGGTTAATGGATGGGGCCTGGACTCCTGAGTCTGAGGAAGGAGGGTTGGGGTCTGAACCCTCAATCTGAGGGAAGAGGGCTGGGGTCTAGAGTCCTGAGCCTGAGAGAGGAAGGTTGTCCCGACCCTTGGATCTGAGGGATGAGGGCTAAGGGCTTGGATATGAGAGAGAAAGGGTGGTACCTGGACCTCGGTGTCTGATAGGTGGGCTGATTTCTAGAATCTTCCACTGAGGAAGGCTAGAGCGTGGACTGTGAACGTGAAGGAGGAGGGGAGTCTGGACTTCTGCTTCTGAGGGAGGAAGGCTACCAGGACTCTTGGGTAGTCCCAGGGAGGAGAGCTGAACACCCACACACCCACCCACCCACCCACCCCACCCCCGCCCCAAATCTGGGCCCTTTGTTGAACCACAGTCAGTACTAAGATTCAACACACGGTGTCGCTCTGCCCCCAGTGGGGGCAGAAGGGGCGGGGCAGAGGGTGGGGCTTCACGACCCCCCAAGGTGGGGGGCGGGACTTGCTCCTGGGCAAGCCGATGCTGGCAGGAGCCCCGAAGTGCAGGGCACTAACCGCAGTAGGCAGAAAGGGGTCAGACGAGCCTTGAAGAAGGTGAGGTCTGGAGCTCTCAGCCCAGGTCAGAAGTAGGGCAAGGTTAACCGGCTTGAGGTAGGCTGCAGTTGAACTAGGAAAACACGTGGTAAGAGTCCTGGACCCTCAACAGGACAAGGAAGATCTTGAAGCCATCGGGTGCTTGAGTGTTGGGGCCAGGGTCCAAGCCCCCAAGTTGTGTGAGTCATAGAAGTTCCCCGGCAGTAATAAGTTATGGTTTGGACCTCTAGGTATGGGGGAGGAGGGCTGAGGGCTGGACCCCTGGGTCTGAGGGAGGGGGGCTGGGGTCAGGGACCCTGCATCTGAGGGTAGATGGACGGGGTCTGAACTCCTGAGTCTGAGGAAGGAGGCCTGACCCTTAATGTGAAGGAGGAAGGCTGGGGTCTATATTTCTAGATGTTGGGAGGGGAGCTGGGGTCTGGAGCCCTGAGTCTAGGGAGGAGCCGCTGAGCTGTGAGACTTGGACCACAAAATGATTGAGGACTGAAGGACTGGGGACCGGTCCAAGCGCCAGCTTCCGGCAGGACCCTGATGTCTCAAGCTGCGTAGAGCCCCACCCTTCCCTGGAGGCAGAGAGCACCTGTTGCTCTTTGGAGGGAACTGCTCCTCCACTCTGGGGCCCAAGTCTGTTTGCTTTGGAAACAAGATGGGGGGGTTGTCTCAATGGCTTGGTTCATCTTACACTCTCAGGCCATCAGGTGGCAGTGGGAATGGGGGGGGGCATCTGACCTCTCAGTTGACCTCACCTCACACCACTGACTGTTTCCCACTCCTGGGGGTCCTCTGACAGAATGGAAGTAAGTCACACTGAGAACTGGCGATCAGTGCAGGTTCCGGACGGCTCCTTCACACCCCAGCCCTCCTCCCTCAGATCTAGGAGTCCAGACCCCAGCTTCCTCCCTTCCTGAGACCCAGGAGTCCAGACCCCAGCTTCCTCCCTTGCTGAGACCCAGGAGGCCAGACCTCAGCCCTCCTCCCTCAGACCCAGGGGTCTGGTTACCTTGCTCTCCCTCCACTGGGCACAGGCTAGCGACCTCTGGGTCCTGGGTCACTTTCCTCGTCTGTCTTGCAGAAATGCCGGGCAAGCAGTCAGAGGACGGGGTGATGGAAGGAGCAGCCGTGGAAGACGGGGGTGACGAAGGCCTGGGGGGCCTCACCGTAGAGGAGCTGGAGCAGGGCCAGGAGACTGCGCTGGCCTTGGAGGACATGATGGCTCTGAGCGCCCAGACCCTGGTCCGCACTGAGGTGGGGCAGTTGTACCAGGAAGTCCGTCCCTTGGGCCAGGGCCGGTTCGGTCGCGTCCTGCTGGTTACTCACCGGCAGAAAGGTACTGGATCCTGGGCCCGGGAATGCCAGAGGGTAGATCTGAGCAAGATTTCAGACGAGCTAGCCAAGGCTAGGGAGTCTTATAACCGTGAGTCAGGTCTTCCCTCCTCACTTTATTTCTAAGCTGTGTGTTTTAGGAGGTTCCTTTAACCCACCTCTCTCCTTTGAAGAGATGAGAAGCCCGGCATTATGGTGTGTGCCTGCATAATCCCATCACTCAGGCTGAGGAGGGGAGGTTGCTATGAATCTGAAGCTGGCCTAAGATTTACATAGTGAGTTCCAGGTTAGCCATGGCTACGTAGCAAGATAACCGTCTCAGGCAAACAAAGCCGGACATGGTGGCTGATACTTGTAATCCCGGTATCCCTGAGATTGAATCCCTGGAGGTAGAGGCGGGAGGATCGGGAGTTTGAGGTCATCCTACGATAGATCCAGAGTTTCAGGCCAGCCTGGGCTACATTAGAGGCTGTTTCAACAATAGAAAGCCAGGCAGGATGGCTCAGCAGCTAAAGGCGCTTGCCACAAAGTTCAGTTCCCCAGATCCTACCTTCGCGGTGCAAGGAAAGAACCGATTGCCCCAGGGTGTCCTCCGGCCTCCACAGCCCTCCTCCCAACAAACACACAATCAGCCAGTGTGAAATTAAAAAGAAGGGAGAAAAGAGAAACCTGTTCGTACTTAAAACACACACACACACACACACACACACACACACACACACACCAAAAAAACCTAATGATGTTCCATCGTACAGCCATGTCCTCCCCTCTGCACTTCCTGGGATGTCAGAAACTGCATGATTTGTGTCTGCTGTGACAGCTGTCTTTCCCTTCCTCTTTCTTCTTAAACTTTTATTGACAATTTTTTCAGTGATGTGCATACGGCAATGGGGGGGGGGCTGCGGGGGCAACTGTGCACATGAGTGCAGTGTCCAGAGAGCCGGGGACGAGAAAGGTCCCCGAAGCTGGAGTTACAGGTGGTTGGTTGTGAGCTGCTGGGATTTGAACTCTGGTCCTCTGCAAGAGTAACAGTTATCGTTTGTTTGTTTCTTTGTTTGTTTTCTAACCTTTTCTTCTCTCTCTCTCTCTCTCTCTCTCTCTCTCTCTCTCTCTCTCTCTCTCTCTCTCT